ATGAGGCGATAAAAATTAGCTCTTGGTACATAAGACAGGAATAATTCCGGCATAATTCCAGTAAAAGCCATAATAGTTATAATATCTTCTATGTGTATTTTTTTCTTTTTTGAAAAAATCAATTGATCGAGTCATAGATTTACATTCGAATATAAACTCATCGAATGAACTTTCGATTATTCGTTGACATCCCCATAAAATATTTGAAACGAAAAAGGAATTTTGTTATACAATCTCTTTCTACCCGCCTTTGATTATTAACTGGTCATGTCGTCTGTAGCACTCATACATACAAACTGACGATAATGGTAGATATACATGTTCCTTTGTTCATAACCACATACCGTAAATCTGGAAATTTTTACTGTAGTTAAATTTTTAGCAAATTTGTGCATGCATTGCATTCGTAAAAATATTTTTCTTAAAAATAAATCTACAACAAAAAATGTAAACAAAATTTTTGCTGACAGCTGTTGTAAATTTTTAACCCGGTGAACAGGTGTTCGTAAGCAGTGGTCATTTTAAGAAACCTGTTTATATTTTATGTACATGCATGATTTAATAAAATGATACGAAAACTTTAAGCAGTTTGGATCTCTTCTAATATTTTATCTGATTATTGAACGTTGGCATCGATAAATATTGTATGTACATGCGTTATTTATTGTACATGTATTTATATGCGTAACTTATAAGCTATTATGAATATTTTAAGCGCTTTTTAATTTTAGCGCCAATGATAAATCGCAAAATTTTGAAACGTAAAAATTCATCAACAGCTTTTTGACCCATATTCGCAAAAATAAATCGACGTAAAAATTTCCATATTTACGGTAAGTCACATAAAACAACTGTTTTATTTTTACAAAATTTATCACCGTGTGTCTTCATGATCATCAGAAAATAAATACAACCAGAACGTCGATACTTCCTTGGATAAACGTGTTAAAAAATATATGAAATCAATAAGGTATTTCCATTCTCCTGTGATGTCATAGGTTTTTGCAAAAACTGTTATTAATTTAAATTCATACCCACTAGAAATATATCTTTTGAAAAAATACTTTCATATTGGTGTAATAAAAAATATCAGTTAGGAAAAATGTTTTTAAAATGTGTATTTTATTTATTTGATCAATTATTCAATCTTTAAAACTTTTTGCTAGGGGCAATAACTCCTTCTCAGGTATCTTCATTCTGGCATTTTCTTTATTGTACTTCTGATGTAAAATGGTTTCCCTGATATTCAAAATCCATGCATATTTATGAAGTAATAATTATTTCGGAACTTTCAATATCAGAATTATGTATTTGAATTAGTTATACTGTTTACTAAAACTCTTTATGTTGATAAATATTCCTGTTTATTTATGTCTCCTATCTTTAAAAATATGGCAACCTTTACAATTATTAGGTAAGTTAACTATATTTAGTGAAAATAGATGCAGTTTTTTCTACTTTGAACCATTGAAATTGTGACGGTGGAAATATCTTACATGATTTATCATTTATTTGCAATCCCTTTGCACGTTTTGAAAACAGGAAATTATAAATCTATAACAAGAAATTATTTAAAAAGATAATTGATAAAAGATCCAGTTAAAGAAAAGATAACTCTTTGATTAGATTTTCCTTTCATATATTTTTCTTATATTTTCAATTGCTTTCATTTTTTTTTCTCCTCATTTTTTGCCCTTCAATTTTACATCTATTTTTCAGTTTTCTTTTCACGGAATTAATCCAACCTTTTTTATGAAAATATAATCCTAAACTGTCCCTATTGTTCCTTTTGAAACAAAGGAAAATAAAGTGTACAGTTCATTTAATGGTGTCTTTCATTTTTAATTTAAGGTTTTTATTATATTATATAATCCACTAAAAATTTAAAGTATAAAGCGACGAAATATCAAAAAATGGTTATACAACATGAATTAAATATTTATAGAAAATTAAAAGTAAAATTTGTTACTTTGAAGCTTTATTGTATTGGATATCAAGTGATTGATACAAATGGATACATGAAAACTCAATCCCCCTTTATTGGTGTACAATTGTACCTTAATTTTTTTTTCGGATGTGGTGTTTCTATTAGTTTATTATTCACAAATACCTTAGGGAATAGATCTGAATGACTGGTTGTCTTTAGTAGGGAGATGTTTTATTCATAGGAAACTATCCAGGAACGAGTAGTAAAAGATCTGGACAAATGCACTGGATATTCCGCTACTGTATTATTCCAACTGAATTGAAAATTATACGTTTGTTCCAAAACAGAAATATCAAGTTCTTTAAAAAATCATCTATTTAACATTAAAAACATTGGCACGTACCTTTTTAATTTCTTTTCATCCAATTTTAAATGATATAAACAGAAAAACCAAAGTTGATTTGCTAAATCTGGGTTTTTATCTGTGGCCTGAATTTTGAAGCGTGTTTAAAGTTATTTTCTCAACATAATAGAAGGTCAAAATCTGTAACGTTGCCCTCTCCGTCTTCTATAATCGCCATAGAATGTATTAAGATTTACCTTTGGCTTGTAACGGTTGTTGGGTTCAAGTTCAAAATCGGTAGCGAAAACATTTTGTGTATGCAGTACCTAAATATCATAATATCACTTTATAAACATCTTGTACATGTAAATGTCGGTAATCTTGTGCATGTAAATAACGGTTATCTTTACTAGCTCTATTCTTTACAAGTAAGATTGCATTTTACTTATGCAAGAGTAGATCTACTTTTTATATTAAAAAAAAGTTGACATTAAAATACTTTTGGTTTGCCTTTCAATTGATGGCCCATGGGATAAAGTCTAAAAGAAGTGTGGGATGAAATTTGTATGAATGCAAAAAAGTAAAATTTATACTTTGCAAGGAACACGAGTCATTTGCGATACCTAAGGATTTAGCAATAACTTTAATAAAAGTAGGCACCTCAGACATTTTGACGAAGTTTTCCGTGAAGAATGGTTCACTAAATTTGATATATTATATCTCTAGCTTTCGTATTACATACTGTAAATCTAAAACATAAATTTACAATCTAAATTTGTGGATATCTCTATAAAATCATTAGGATGCTGAAGATATACAAAACTGGTTCAAGGCCCTGTTTAAAGGAGGATGGTGTTGGAGACCGACATATGTCTTTCCTGTAAGGGATTCTTAGAGAAATTCAAGTTTTTTTTTCATTACAAATCAAAGGTTTTTTTCCTGATTTTGAACCACTTGCATTGATATATAGCACCTCTCCCCCGCGCCTTCATCTCTCGAAATAATGACACTAATACTTAATAAAAATCAATGTAAAATGCATTTTCACGTTTCAATAAAAGCTAATTTTATACATATTTATTACAACAGAATCGCAACATATTAAAAAGAACCAGGACTTCTAATTATAAAAGGACAGCATATGATTTTAAAACCACGACAAATTTAGTACTTAAAAATATTTTTTTACAGCATTAATGCTGATTTTTTTTATGCCTTATTCCTATAAACAGCAAATGAGATTCAGCTTTCTCTGTACAATAGACAAACCTCTTATGTGTTTTTAATAGCCCATTTGATATAAACGCCCATACAAAACCTAGACGAGGCCAAATTTACTTGATATGCACATACGTTTTCACGCAGCATTGTTTCAGACGCGTCTCAGTACCCTTGATTGTCGTCACAATTGAATATAATAACGTCACTGTTGAAATGACGTCATATTGCGCTAAATATTTCGCTATTCTTGCATACCTGATACTAGTATAGGTCTGGCGTATATGTGTTGAAAACTCACACATTCCATTTCTATTATTTTGTAATAATTTAATTTTGTTTGTATTCTAGCCTCTGATTGGTTAATATCCAAAAAGGAACACAAATTATTTCTGTACAACCTGGTTTGGTTTGGGGACACCCCCCCCCCTCCCCCGACAACCATCTGAATCATCTGTATCCATACAATCCTCTCATTTCCAGTCCTCGGGATTCATGGAAAATTCCAGATTTAATAAATGTACCTTTAACTTAACAATAATTCGATCTTACCACATGTAAACAAACAACAAGACTGCCGCTAGGCCTATGCATCAGTTTTTACCTCCCCTCGCTTCCCATCACTTCCGTTACTTGCGTTACTACGGTTGTATTATTGAGCGGCAAATTTGAACTAATAAAAAGCAACGAAATTTTACTTCCTTAGTTATTTGACCCAAACCAGGTTATACTCGAATAATTTGGACAAGAATTAGAGTCATTCCTAAATTAATATATAAATATTTTAATTAATAAGCAATATTGTAACATAGTTCATTTTGTAGGTATTGCCAATTTCTAAGTAGAGTTTTATCAGTATTATCCTGTTTTATGTCAATAATTGAGTTTGAAAAGCCACGGCAACCAAAAGTAAATGAGCTTAGTCTTTCTCCCTGAAATGTGTATTAATCTTTTTTGTTGATAACTCAAATATGCATGCATTAAATTAATTTAAATGAAACCAAAAAGAAATATTTTAGTTTTCTATATATTACATGTTTTACTAAATTTCGTTCTTTTGTACCCCCTTTCACCCCCACCCTCTATTTTACGTAAACAACATTGTCAAACAAAGATAAAGAATATGAAAAAAGAATTTTTCTTAGCATAATACACACAAATAAATCAACAACAAAAAATTCCCGTAAAATCCAATTAGACTGGGCCTCGTTAATTCAGTTGCAGTGTTTTGCATTACTGACAATTAATTCAATAGATGATAAATAGATATGAAGTATTTATTACACGAAAAGAATAACTTCTTCATAGAGGTACAAGTTAGAATTATTTTCGATCTCTAAAAAACACAGGTCAGGTCTGTCTCAATGCATATCCAGTATAACTTTCATGTAAAAATATGGGAAAGAAAATGGATGATAAAATACGAACCTGGCAGGTATATGTATATACTTATTTTAGTAAAATTTGGATCAAATTTACAAATAGAGAGTCGTCTAATGGAGATATACAATATCAATCTGATTTAAGTTTCTTTTTCATACAGCAGTTACAAATCAACCTGAAAACATACACAATCAAACACACAACTGATAGAAATATAATAAACAACAAAAGAAAAATGTCTAGTCCGAAATATTTGTAGTCAGGTAAAATATGAGACGAAGACCGCAAATGGGAACTTCCATAGCTGGTCACGTGGTGTACCCAGTATGCAGCTCTCTGAGATGAATTCAGTGGTTTTGATCTGTACATTTCTGAGGCTATCTTTATTTTTCTTGAGTATTTTTCATTATAAACAACTTCCCTTATACTCCTCTCTAACCCCTCGGGAGTTAACGTGTTATGATCTAGTTTTACACCGAAGGACTTAATAACTATTCTATCAGCATTATAGTGTTGGTCCCCGAAGATTGGTATAGCAATCATTGGTACTCCATGATACAGTGCCTCATATTGTCCACTGTTTCCACAGTGTGTTATGAATGCCTTAATTCTTTTATTGGCGAGGAGGTCATTCTGAGGTAACCAAGGAACAGTTAGGATATTTTTTTCCTTAAAATGGGACTTATCTATTTTCGCAATAAAATGAATTTCTGGAATGTTTTGAAAAGCTTCGTATAAACTAGCTTTGAATTCTCCTGGCATGTTTGAATGACTTCCAAAGCTTGCAACAATGATTCCGTCTTTTGCAGATTCAATATGGCGTTGAATCTGGTTAGGAAGAGGATTTAGTGAATTTGATAATGACAATCCTCCTACATATGCTATGTTTGGAAGTGAAGGCCTTGGATAATCTAGTATTTCTTCTTGATCTAGCAGGTAAAAACTAAAGGTGTTTGTTTTCTTGTAAAATTCATCTAAACTCGATGTTGAAACATATTTGCTAACAACATCGTCGGGAAAAAACAGCGATTTTCCAAATGTTCCCAACAAAATTATTCCAATGCGCCCGCACAGGCTTTGAAAACGTGATATCAATGACGTCGGGTCAGGAATCAACAAACCAGGAAATTCAGGGATGCTAAGGTAATCCGAAGGAGTTCTGTAGATCATCTTAGGTAGCAATGATACAGCACAATAAACAACTTCTGGAATTGATAGTTTGTGTGCAAGAATGAGAAAGGGCAAAGATAGCAATCCATCGATGATAACCGTCTTAAAATGTTGACCTTCCAGTTTTTTAAAAATTTCAGAATCCGTCATGTACAAGTGTGTTATGTTTATAATTGTGCTTCGCATATTTCGTCCAAGAAACAAAATGCCTTTGTTTTGTAAGTTTCCTTCTACAACAAGATTTACAAGTTTGTCAGTTTCTTTTGAGATTTTTTCGTCCTTGTCATGAGTAATAATTTGAGCCGAAAGATCTCTTAAACCCTCGTGTCCTGAGAGTTCTTCTGTGACCAAAATCGTCACATTGTGGTCGTTTTGTTTAATTAAAAGATCCACCATACCCATTAGTGGTCTCACATGACTATACATTGGACCTGGTATGACTAAAATGTTTTCCGATGATGCACACATCATGTTTCCTGATAGATAGAGGATGAAAGATACGTATGAAAGGCAGATTTCCTTTTTTTTCATCTTCAAAAAAAAAAAAAAAAAAACTTTATTAAATTCTAATGATCACTCCTTCACATACTGCAAATTGATATTTAATTGTTTTCATGCATACTATACGTAAGTAAAATGATGAGAGTTTAAAGCCAATCTAGTACGAGTATTTCAAAGCAGCCTAAAGATACCTAATCACCTCAAAATATTCTGCTCTTAACATGCACTCAAAATGATTTCCGTCAAAATGTCAGATGACACCACCAGATGGAGACGAAAGACGTATGAAGATTGTTTAAAAGTTTTTGTTTTTAAGGTTATGTGTAATTCCTTTTATGTCTGTATCTTATCCTACCATTATCAAAAAGAATTTTTTTCAAAAATATTATGGGAAGTAATGTTCAAAATGATCAGGTTTCATGGATGAAATCTGCAGGGGTGGATCTAGCCTTCTATGCCCTCTTCCTTGGTTTCAATTTTTTGGATGCCTGGTTAAAAATTCGCTAAATGGGAAAGAAGATAATCCAATGAAAAATCAAGATTTTCTGCATCTGTTATTTTTTTCCCGCCATGTAAGTTGAATGCCTCTTTTTCTAATTAAAACTGTTAAATAATCACCCTCTAGATATTTCTTCACTTTCCCCCACCCCTCTTCTATTCTGATTTGACCGGTCAAGGTAGCCTAGTTGTAGGACGTTCGCTTCGTGATCGGGAGGCCCGGGTTTGATTCTCGTTCGCCAAGCCGCGTCAAACCTGCGACGTAAACATAGGCAGTGACTGTCCTTCGCCAAGCGGCCGGCATTAGAGGTGAAAGTCACGGGTCTTTCGGACATGACCTTAAAAACGTAGGTCTCGTGTCACGGTAGGCGGTGGCACGATAAAGAACCCTCACTGCGCAATGGCCCTGAGTGCCGAGTATAGGTCTAAATGTGAAGCCCTTCACCGGCATACGGTGACGTCTCTATATGAGTGAAAAATTCTCGAATGGGACGTTGAACAACATAAATCAATCCATCAATGTTCTGAATTGTTAAACAGAAACCGCCACTTTTCTTTAATTCTCGCTCTCACGACCCCGCGAATCCCATTTTATGCGTGTCTTACTGTGCTTGGTAAATGTTAACAAGACATTGTAAGATTCATAATCAATCGCTGATAATATTTGCAAAATTGCACGTACTGTTGTCAATTCCAAGCATCAATTCCATCACTTTTGCCTGTCGATGGCTGAAAATATGTAATGGTGAGGTCACTATGCTTTTTTGCGCAATATATAATGCACATCTACAATTTACATGTACATATCTGTGATATGCATGGACAGTTGAACAATTATAAAAGAATTACCACTGTCTCAATTTATTATCCACATAAAATCTGGTGCTTGTTTAAATCCCCCCCCCCCCCCCAGTGTGGAATTTACAAATCTGTACATTAATATACAAAAATCTTCAATAAGAACAAGGTAGAATTTCAATATAATAAGTTGTAGAAGACATCAATTTTCAGTGGAATTTCTTTCCAGATAATATAGACCACATGCATCACTCATTTTAAGATTTTAAGAAATGTGGATTTTACAAAGACCTTTACACAACACGTACGAAAATTGAAGTGGGCGACGGCTGTGAACACTATTATCTAAAGGGAAATTTCCCCTGAAATGAGACATTTTGAGTTTTTTCTCTTAAAACCTAGCAATTTTCCTAATTAATGACGTCATAATTCCAGATTGGCTTCCTTCATGCCATATTCTTTCACGATTTACCTTATTCATTTACTCAATTTATACTAAAGCCAATTTGAAAACTTTTGGAAAAAATAAAATTGTTAGGGCACAGTAGAGACAAAGCCATACCTACTTCTTTGTCACTTGCAAGCACGATTTGTTAAAAAGAACCAAATACACATTTTACACAATTTCTGTATGATTTCGTTTGCAATGATTATCAAACATTTGTTCTTTAACAGAAATTTCAAGCTCTTTCAAAATCATTTATTTTGTATTGAAGAAATGCCACTTACCTTTTAAATTTCTAAAAATTCAGTTTACGTGTGGTTTCAACGCTAAACAGAATTTGGCTGGTTAAAGTGTCGTGACCTCTGTCTTAAATCCTTTGAGGCGTGTTAAAATATTTTTCTCAAGGTGAAATGGGGTCAAATCTTTAGGCTGATTTTTTATAATAGTAAATAGCAAGTTCAAAATCTGTAACGAAATTTTTGACGGGTGCAGTACATAAAGAAACCATAATATTACTTTGTAAGGCATCTTGTGCATGTGTCGATAATCTTTACCTTAATTCTTCACAAGTACGACTGAATAAAACAAACATTGAGTGTACCTATTTTTATTGAAGACAAAAAGAGTTTGGAAATTTTTATTGTCTTGCCTGTTAACTGAGGAAATATGGGCACTCAAATGGATGTGAAGGGAGGAAACAACAAAAGTATACAGAGGAACTCTAGTTACTTGTGGTATTTAAGAAATATCAATAACTTCACACACCTTAGAGATTTCAGAGTTTTCGGGGAATAATGATTCATTATATGTGGTATATTGTATCTCTAGCTTTCACATTTACTTAATATCTACTTGGTATCTTGTAAGTCTAAATTAGATATGTCATCTGAAGGTTTTGTAGTTGGTATTATTATGGTAAATATATGATCTATGGGATTGGTCAATGTTCATTAACTTAACCTTTTCATATTCCTCATCTTATACACTGAACCAAACTTCTAAGTGTTCACCTAATATTTTTAAGTTATAAAGAACAAATGCATACAATAAATAATTTCTTTAATTCATGGTTGATGATGCATATTTCAGTTCGATGTTGCGTCAATTTCATGTAAGTATCTCGTCAGACTTTAAAGCAAAGTGTCAAGGACATGATGTACCCTCAAAATGAAAATTCACATAAAATAATCTCTATGGAGTAAGACCACCACTAGTTCAAATTATTGCAAGACATCCTTTTCTCGTGGATACCATGTACCCCTGAATAGGAGGTTGACCTATCTGCTGCCACACCTACTACATGGATCTTTCTAAACCGTTGAAATTGTGTGGAGTGGGGGGGGGGGGGGGGGGGGGGCTTGGACATTCCTTTTGAAAGTCCCAAATGTGTTCAATGGGATTCAGATCCGGGTATTTGGCAGGCTTGTGCAGCACACAGATGCCTTTTTGTCAACACTCAGACCCTCCTTGGGCGTTACGCACGTAAGTGTACCTCTTTAAGGATGATTCAGACTGCTTGAGATGATATTGGACTGCCACGGGCACCAATTTGTTGCCATTCTGTTACCATTGAAGTTGCTGATTTAAATGGTTCAGGAGCATGTAACAATTTTTTAACCTGGTTGTGACGCGAAACCTTGGCCTCAGACGAAGATCCAGATCACTTCCGGTTTCGTTAAATTTTGTCGAAAGCTTTCAAATTTGGATAAGTTGGCGATAAAAATGAGACATAACCTATAGAAAAATGTGTTTAAATGTATTTTATACTGGTTGTTAACTTTCAAAAATAAAATCAAGGACAAATAAACAGTAAAATAAAAGTTAGTAAAACGTATCCTAAGGATGATCCAGATATCAAAATTCCAACGGCTCTCCCTAATTCCTCAATGGTCATTTTGCTCATGTTTTGTGTTTTTTAGTTAAACCAGTTGTTAAAAATTGATAATGATCACAAAAAGAAGATAATTACGCAAAACCCGTGTCGAAAAGTACAGATTTATTGTTTTTAAGCTTCGTCACTGGACATTGGTTTTCAACGGTGATAAGTGATTTTCTTTCAACAATTGTTGAGAAGACTCATTGGTTATAATAAGTTGAAAATATCATACCATTCCATCATGTAGTTTTTAAATAAATACATTTATCAGAGTGAACACTTAGAAGTTTTGTTAAGTGTACAGTACAGTAGTTCAAATTGTTCTTTTTTGCTCAGTGGCGAAAGGAAGCACATATACCTGTATGTGACAAACGGAGGGCGTAAACATTCAGTTTTTTTTCCTGATTTACGTACATGTAGGTGCATATATAGGTAGAGGTAAATGTTTTAATTTTTTTTATCTCTTATATATATTGGAAAAGATAGATTTGAAATAAATGTGAATGGGAAAAATAAAATGAAATAATTAATTAACTAAAGATTGAAAGAATATTTGTTTCATAAGAAACGGGGTAAAAAATACAGAAAAAAGTTTAATTGGAAACCTTTCAGTTAATCTCGGGTTTTTGTTGTTGTTGTTGTTGTTGTTGTTTTTTTATTTAAAAAAAAATTGTTTATTCTTAAAACAGCCTGTCTGAAAAAATACGCAATGTATGATTAAAAATCGATACATGTTTAAATCGATTTTTATGATATAATTTATGAAAGTAAAGAAATAATTATGTAATTATCTGACAATTTCTCTTTTCTAGAGAAGTATAATTCATGAATATTAAGTACATGAATAAAAATAAATGTAAATTGTACATAAACATGCATTGCTCATATAATTGTACGTGTACAGTGCTTTTATACCGAAATGCCAACCGGCATGCTGACTGGTCGACGCGCTGATTGGTCAACGCTTTATCCTGATTGACAGCTCTGTTACGTGATAGGGAACGCCGCGCTGTAGCTTCTGAGCTGTAGAGACCCTCGGGGAGTAACCAGCAGAGGCCTCGACCCAGGGGTCATAATGTAAATCATATACGATTATTTCGACATAAGTGAGTGCAATTCTAAAATAGTGCAATTCCAAAAATAACACCAGTTTTCCTCCCTTAATTATGAATGTATGTGACTCTTGTAACACTTAGAAGTTTGGTTCAGTGTATATTTGGAATATACAAGGGGTGGGGCTTACAGGAGGTAGGATAAAACGGGGTCCTCTTCACGCTTGAGTGAAAGCGAAATCCGGGTTCGCTCCAGCGGACACAGAGCTGACCCCGAGCGAACGCGCAGCAAGCCCAGAGCGCACCCAAATTTTTAAGTAGCGGACCCCAAGCGAACCCGGGGTTCACATTTGGGGTTCGCTCTGGTGTTAAGTTGTGTCCGGTCGGTACTGTAAGTACTTCGGTACTAGCTTGAAAATACGGATATATATTTAATTGCTGTGGTAAAATACAGAATTTTTTTCAAACTTCAGGATTATCTTCCTCATGCATAGCTCTGATCCTTCGAGGTATTTGGCTCCAGTGTTTGGCACTCCATTTTATCAGCTCTCTAATTTTTTTTTTATAGAATATTTCGGATTTCCAACGTTTCGGCGTGAGCATCACTGAAGAGACATAATTTGTCGAAATGCACATCTGATGCATCAAAATTGGTACAGTATCAGATTTACGTTATGACCCCTGGGTCGTGGCCTCTTAATGGCTTCATCTAAGAACATCAGAACTTTGTAGCATCCCTGCAAGCTGGACTTGCTAATCTCAGGCTTTCTGTGTTATAAGCAGTTTAAGCTGTTCATGAAAACTGCACATAACATGAAAATAAGAAGTAGATGTCCTTTGATAAAAAATTGGTATCAAACTTTAAATATTTTTATTTGACAATATTAAAAGAAAAAATCTTTTTAAAAAACTAAATAATTATTTATAGATAACATGCTTTTAATATTATATGCTACGGATATATATATATATATATATATATATATATATATATATATATATATATATATATATATATATATATATATATATATATATATATATATATATATATATATATATATATATATATATATATATATATATATATATATATTGATTCTGTTACCGGGTATTATAAGCATTTTTAGGTCACCTGAGTCACTCAGATGACCTATTGCTATCCGTTTTTGTCCGTCGTCGTGCGTCGTGCGACGTGCGTCGTGCGATGTGCGTTAACATTTGAACATTTTCAGCTTCTTCTCTGAAACCGCTCAACCAATTTCAACCAAATTTGGCATATAGCATCTATGGTATTCTTTACTCCTGGACATCAACCAGTCAAACTGTTTGCATGATTGTAATAAGCATTGAGCCCTCTACCAAAATTGTGAAATTCATGGCCCCAGGGTTAGGGGTTCTGGTGTTAGGGCGGGACTCTATTGATTATATAGTGAAAATGCATTATTTCTTTGAAAGTATTCTTCTCTGCTCCTGGGCATTAACTAAACTAATTTAGTACATAGTTATGATGAGCAAGAATGCCTTTTCTAAAATTGTGAATTTCATGACCCCAGGGTCAGGGGTTCCTTGTAAGGGCGGGGCTATATAGATCATATAGTGAAAGTGCATTACTTCTTTGAAAATCTTCTTCTCTGCTCCTAGGTATTAAATAAACTAACTAAGTACATAGTTATGATGAGCAAGAATGCCTTTTCCAAAATTGTGAATTTCATGGCCCCAGGGTTAGGGGTTCTGGTTTAAGGTCTGGGCTATATAGATCATATAGTGAAAGTGCATTATTTCTTTGAAAATCTTCTTCTCTACTCCAGCTGGGTATTATTTAAACAAACTAAATACATAGTTATGATAAGCAATGATGCCTCTTCCAAAATTGTGAATTTCATGGCCCCTGGATTAGGGGTTCTGGTGTTAGGGTGGAGCTCTATTTATTATATAGTGAAAATGCATTATTTCTTTGCAAATCTTCTTTCTGCTCATGGGTTTTATTTAAACAAACTAAGTACATTGTTATGATAAGCAAGGATGCCTCTTCCAAAATTGTGAAATTCAGGGGTTCTGGTGCTAGGGCAGGGCTATATAGATCCTATATTGAAGGTGATTTATTTCTTTGAAAATCTTCTTCTCTGCCCCTGGGTATTATTTAAACAAACTAAGTACATTGTTATCATATGCAAGGATGCTTCTTCCAAAATTGTGAATTTCATGGCCCCTGGGTCAAGGGCTGGGGGGGGGGGGTCTCTATTGATTATATAGTGAAAAAGCAAAATTTCTTTGAAAATATTCCTTTCTGCTTCTTGTTAAAAAGCAAAGAAGCTATGTGTACAGTTACGATGAGCAAGAGTGCTTCTTCCAGAGTAGTGAATTGCATGAGCCCTGGGTCAGATGTGGTGGCGTAAGGGTGGGGCTCTTGATAATATAGTGAAAATGCATTAGCAGATAAACAAAGTGATTACTTATAATGAGCAAACTTCTGGTCCCAGGGTCAAAGACTCTGGTGTTTCTCGTTGGGGAGGGGGGCTCTATTGATAATATAAGTGAATCTGTATAGTAAATATGCATTATTTCTTTAAAAATCTTCTCTGCACCCGGGCATATCAGAGGCAAAAGGAGTAAATGTTTTAATAAGAAAGGGTATTTGTACCAGATTTTTGAACATCTGGACCATTTGGTCAAGTGTTCTGGTCCTGGCAAGGGCTCTATTAATTTGTATTCTTCTGAGAGGAGTTATTCCCCTTTGCCAATTACTTTTGATACATGTAATTAATCACTGTAAATAATGTACTTGAAAGGTTAATAGAATAAGAGAATTATGCAAGAATTGTTATTGTATAATACAAAAAGTACTTTCATAGTTTTAATGATCAGTTAGACTTTTAAGTAATAGATAAATAAAAATGAAACAAAAATAACTTGTCTTATTGAATGTTCATCGAAGACCAAGAGAGGCCAATGTAAGAGTTTTCAACAAAGAATTAAAATAGTATAGAAGCACTGATCGTTTGTTAATATACTGTATGGTGATGGTGATAAATGGGGAACAGTTTAGGACCTAATTTATGAACTGTTACTGAGTGCTAGACTAATTATTTTGTTGATCCTGATCATCCTATATTTCTTGCTTTTGGGCAACAAAGCTTCACCTTTCAGTTCATTTTATACTCTATGGATCCTCTAAATTGTTGTATTATACTCAGGTGACCGTTAAGGCCCTTGGGCCTCTTGTTATATATTATATGCAGTAGCTTTATATTTATATGCTGTGCTGTTGTTGGCACAAAATAAAAAGGCGTTGCGATCATCAATTGAAACTATTGAAACTATTTAGTTGATTTGAATTTACTTAAGTTTCTAAGGAATAGAAAGCTGGGGGGAAAACAACAGATATGGAATATAAATTATATTTTGTTTCATCTTTAAAAGTCCTTTTTTTCTTGATAAAGCAATTTTTATTGATAGGGAAGCGCTTGAGACCCCCTGCCTTCATCTCTTGAAACAATGACACAAAAAAGTATATAAAAAAATTGATATAAAATTGATATAAAAAGCATATTTAATGCACTTTTCAAAGCATATACATGTAAGTGTTAAACAACATAATGTCAGAACTGCAAAACCACGGCATTTTCTAACAGTAATCACATCATATAGCTACGAAAACACAGCGTATAATTAAGAAATAAAGCATATAGAGTGTAGAAAACTAATTTTATTACAGCATCGATGATTTTTTTTACCCTTTGCTTGCTGATTTGAATGGTTAATTTGCGTGCTGATTTGATTGGTTCCTTCGCTTGCTGATTCGAGGCTAGTAGTGCTACCAATGCTACCGTAAGAGCATGCTGTATCAAGCTAACGGAAGTATATAATTAAATTTCAGCATTTCAGTGTTAAACATTCAAAATACTCTATATATTTAGTTTATTATTATTACTACATTTTATTATGTTAATATTTTCAATGCTAGCTATGCCAATTTGGTTTTTTTGCCGGCTGACAATACTGGTGCTAATTTTAGTTGGATGCTGATGTTTATCTGGGAGAGTTGAAAGGATGGTAAATATTAATTAAGTCTTAAGGTAATAAATCAATTAGCTATTTCTTAGCTAACTTGAGAGCCATGCCAAAAAAGAAATGTACGTCCAATCAGACAAACAGATGTCTCTAGTAAAATATCCTGAGCTAGTGTTTCACCTGATTAAGCATTACACACATACAAGCTAAATTGAAAATTGATTTATGTTGATGTCCCTCACGTGTTTGAAAAACTTTTATATACGAGGTCTATTGCATGTAGTAAAGCATTTTACACAAATACACAAGACTTGCTGAATATATTCATATCCCTTCGAAAGATCTCCTACATACATGTAGCAATATATATTTACTAACCTTCAATAACATCTATAATGCATATATATCTTCATTTCATTGCCATTCTGCCTCCAAAGTTTAATGTAAAATCTTAGTAGAATGATTATGGGAAGTGCAGATTTAATATATAACTATATATTATGTAGATTGTTTATGATCAACGTTTACCCAAGTAATATTATGTTTCTTCAAATAAACGACTCCTGATTCCAAACATGAAGGACAGAATGATACACTAGTTATTTGACACACCAGACTTAATTGTTGTTTCATGTACATATATAAATTGTACCTTCGTAATGGCATTCTCCCGTCTTTCGACATGTTGAAAGTTTATAAATGTAAAAAAAAAACCGCTTTTTATGAAATATCAATGATTCCAAGAAAAACTTATGCATTCAATTTCAATTTTTACCCTTTAATTCAAGAAAATACTCAAAAGATATGAACTTTTATATTTTAAAAAATAAAGCAATTAGTAAATATTTCTTTCTAGTGGTGCAAAATTTAAGTTTTTGATAAAACTACATTATTAATTAATAAACAAATCATGTTGTTGAAAATAGTTATTCCATCGACTCTTATTGAACATTAAAATGAAAATGTTTTACATACTTCAAATTTCAAACGCATCCAACATTAACATACTAACCACAATGAACAACTGAATAGAGTTGTAATGCTTTCCAATTTTCATTTGGCATGTTATCATTCTTGGTTGACATTAGCAATAAACATACATAGTTATTAGAGCAGTGGAATAATGAAAAGACTGGGGGATGTCCCAAGCGACTATGCTCCACGGGGGGGGGGGGGGGGGGGTCTGAAGCATCGCCACGTTTTAGTGAAACAACTTAACTCTTCATATATATTTACAAATCTATAGTTTTAATTTGAACGTGGAAAACAATTTATTAATATACATGTACGTTGTAATTTACATTTAAGATCTCTATGTTACATAACTATGCTACATGAAATAACATTCATATAAAAACATTTCAGGAAAATAACTAAATGTATAATTCATTTATAATATTACAGCAAGTATATTTTTGTCACAATTTTGGATTTACTTTGAGTATTTTAGCAGAACACAAAATAATCCCTTATAAGGAGGGAGGCTAGCTTGCAGCTCTGCCTGAGGTATTAAAAAAGACATTAGACAACACTAGTTAAATCAATCTGATTTAAGTTTCTTTTTAATACAGCAGTTACGAATTATCCTGGAAATATATACCACCAAACACAGAACTGATAAAAATGAAATGAATAACAAAAGAAAACTGTCTAGTCCGAAGAATTTGAAGTCATGTAAAGTATGAGATGCAGACCGCAGATGGGAACTTCCATAGGTTGTCACGTGGTGTACCCAGTATGCTGCTCTCTGAGATGCGTTCAGAGGCTTTGATCTGTACATTTCTGAGGCTATCTTTATTTTTCTTGAGTAAGAATCATTATAAACAACTTCCCTTATACTCCTCTCTAACCCCTCGGGAGTTAACGTGTTGTGATTCAGTTTTACACCGAAGGACTTAATAACTATTCTATCAGCATTATAAATTTGATCCCCAGAGATTGGTATAGCAATCATTGGAACTCCGTGATACAGTGCCTCATATTGTCCACTGTTTCCGCAATGGGTTATGAATGCCTTGATTCTTTTGTTGGCAAGTAAATCATTCTGAGGTAACCAAGGAATGGTGAGGATATTTTTTCCCATAAAATAGGATTCATCTATGTTTGCAATAAAATGTATTTCTGGAATGTTCTGAAATGCTTCATAGAAAATAGTTTTGAATTTTACTGGCATGTTGGATTTGCTTCCAAAGGTTGCAACGACTATTCCGTCCTTTGCAGAATCGATATGGAGTTGAATCTGGTTGGGAAGAGGGTGCAGTGAATTTGATAGCGACAATCCTCCTACAAATGCTATGTTTGGAAGTGAAGGTCTTGGATAATCAAGTATTTCGTCTTGATCCATCAGGTAAAAACTAAAAGTGTTTGCTTTCTTGTAAAATTCATCCAAACTAGATGTTGACACATACTTACGAACAACATCGTCAGGAAAAATCAGTGATTTTCCAAAAATCCCCATTAAAATCATTCCTATTCGCTGGGACAGACTTTGAAAACGTGATGTTACTAAATTCGGGTCCGGAATTGGGAACAAAGGAAATTCGGGAATGCTAAGGTAATCCGAAGGAACTCTGTAAATCACGTGAGGTAAAAATGATGCAAAGCAATAAACAACTTCTGGAATTGATAGTTTATGTGCGAGAATGAGGGATGGTACATACATCAATCCATCAAAAATGACCGTTTGAAAATGTTGTCCCTCCAGTTTGTTGAAAATATCAGAATCCGTCAAGTATGTATGTGTTATGTTTAGCATTATGCTCTGCACCTTTGGTCCTAAGGATAAAAAGCTCTTATTTTGAAATCCTCTTTCTGCTGAAATAGTATGAAGTTTATCAGTTTCTTTTGTGATTTCCCCTTCCTTATCATGGGTAACTATATGGCCCGAAAGATCTCTCAAACCCTGGTGTCCTGCGAGTCTTTCTGGGACTAAAAACGTCACATTATGATTGTATTGGTTGATAAGCAGGTCCACTATACCTTTCATTGGTCTCAGATGACTATACCCAGGACCTGGTATAACTAGGATGTTTTCCGATGATACGCTTACAAAGTAAGGTAGGTAGAGGATAAATAAGATGGGCAAAAGATGGGCTCTTGTTGTCTCCATCTTCAAAATAAATAAATAAATAAATAAATAAATAAAATAAATAAATGAATAAATAAATAAATAAATGGTAATCTGATTTTAATAATCATGCAGTCCTTCAGATTTGCCTTTTATTTATGAAAAATTATTTAATATGCATTTGTTTGCGAAATTGTTTTCAACTCAAAAATAATTTTTTTTTAGCATTGATTATAGAAAACATAAATTTTCTTAAATGTTGGGACAATATAAAACTAAAACCTCATTACGATGCCTGCAAACTGGTGCATTTACTTAGATAACAAAAATGTAGCTTAGTACTAGTTACTATACTTTATGAAAAGAGGGGAGACTGTTTAGCAGTTTAGTTTTGTCATTCAAAGTTGCACGCTGCAATGCAAAGGACTTTAGTTATTTCATTTGGAGAAATCGTGTCTAGGAAATGTTTCCTTTTTATATGGAGATGGAGACTGATTCAAAATCAGTTTCCAATTTTAACAAAGAAAAAAATGACTGAACAAAACAGAGACATTTTTTTTGTTTAAAAAATGCGTACAAGTATATGGAAATTCAGGTAAAATACATGGTTCGTATCATATTAAGGAAAAAATCTTGGCAAAAAAATACATAATCGTTCTTTTTTCTACTATAGCAAATGTATATTTTATAATGCTGACATTACATTAAATTTTAAATCTCGGAGATCTCCAGAGAAGTGTGGGTAAATTTATTTCAATCCATACGCAAGACGTAGGTTATATTAGTGACACCATTAGCTATACCCTGTATATATAGAATTGAAACAAGGTGAAACCATGTTCAGATCAGTTCAATGTTTACATTTGAAAATCGATGTTTATGGTTAATAAAGTAAACAAACACCATGCAGAGACCCGTGGGTCTACTGTTTACTTCAGAGGAATGAGTTGTTTTGCTCGACTGCTCATATACTAAAAATACTATGAAAGGCTACGCCGTTGTTGTGTTATTCAATGCATTTAAAAATGATATTTAATTTGATCTTTGCCAGATGTATCAAACTCTCAAAAATAATACGTGCCACGTACCTTTTCAATTTCCTAAACATCCAGCTTACATAACCATGATGATAACAGAAGATGGCTTGTTAGATGTGCCATTCTCTTTGTGCTATACTTTTTCAAGCGTGTTAAAGTACTTTTCTCAATATGAAATAAGGTCAAAATCTGTGACGTTGCCCTATATGTCTTTAATAATCGCGATTTAAATTATGCATTAAGCTACTTACACCATTTGGACTAGCTTGTAAAGGTCGTTGGCATTAAGTTCAAGGTCTGTAACGAAATGGTTTAGAGTACCTCTTGTGCATGTGTCGATAATCTATGAAGCGCCGTTTAAGTATTTTTGAAATATTTTCTGATATAAAAAAAAAAGACGAATTCTTGATATCAATAATTTGAATTCTTCGTTTCAAAAAATAATTCTTGATATCAAAAAATAATTCCTGATTTCAAAAATTTGAACTGTGATATCAAAAAATAATTATTGATATCAAAAATATTTCTTGATTTCAAGAATTTCAATTATAATATCTAAAAATCATATTCTGATATCAAAATTTCAAATTTTTGATATCAAAAAATCATTTCTGATATAAAAATTTCGAATTCTTTATATCAGAAAGTAATGTAGATTTTTCTTATATCAAAAAATCGAACTTGATATATATATATATATATATATATATATATATATATATATATATATATATATATATATATATATATATATATATATATATATATATATATATATATATATAACATATATATATATATATATAAACATTTTCTGAGATCAGAAAATTGATATTTTATAACAGAAAATATTTCTTTGATTTCAAAAAATATATCGTTTGGTATCTGCAAAATCATTTTCTGTATCAGAAAATACATGTACCTTTTAATTTTTAAAACGGCGCCTCATGATAATCTAAGAAGGCTGTGTGGTCGATAGCCATGGCCAGCTATAGGCTAAATCTGGAAAAAGGGAGCTTTATGTGAAAATATGGTACATGTAATTTCATATAATATCAAAGAGCGGGTCCTGGCACTTTTTGTGTAATTATTCCCACGAATTTCGATAATATGTAATAACTGGTCAATTTTGAACATAAATAAATTTAATTTATAAGATGCAGATAAAAGTTATTATCATTATAAAAGATGCAGATAAAAGTGTGAAGTGTCAGTGTAGTAAAATGTGCTAGGACATCCTCTTTAAAGTTGGAGTATGATTTTTTTCTCTACTAAATAACAGTTTATGGCTAGGAAAATCAAATTTCATATTTTAAATGGATCTGTTGCATGGCTAGTATTGGGTAACAGCCTCTTTACAGTAGGCCTAGTTTTTAATTTTAAAAGAAAAAAAATGTCCTGAAATTATTATCGATCTTGCTCATTAATTGAGAGGCCATATGACAGGCATCCTAAAAAGAGAGATATGTAGGGTTGGGAGGGCACGACGGGAGAAAAAGTATTTATTCTCAATACCAAGAAGTATAAGTCCGTGTTGCATTCAGGATATAAATAACTACAGAGTGGGCACTTCGGATATCTTGATGAATTTTTCAGGGAATAATATAGAGTTCATTGAATTTGATTGTTTTATTGTATCTCTGACTTTCATATTTTTACTTCTTATCTAAAGATTTATATGCTGGGTACATTTTATTTACCGTAATTTTGAAATAGATATTTATTCTGAAGGTTTTGTAATAAGGAATTATCAAGCTAAATATACGATTTATGGGATTAATTACTATTATCTTAACCTTCTATAATCCCTATCTAATATGACTGAACAAAAATTGTACAGAATGTTTTATCGTTTAATCAATGATATTGACCTACGGAACCGTTTTGATGAGGGTCTGTCCCGAGATATTAGATCATTCTAATTTTTTTTTCTCCTGAAAGCTATTTTATTTATTTATTCATTGAAAATATATTATATACATATTTTAACCTTCAAGGAAAATGTATTCAATATTAAACCGCTTATAGATGATAAAAATATGAAGAAAGGAGTATTGATTATGGGCCACAACGTTGTCATGAGTTACCATGATTGTGTTGTTCTGACGATTATTTTCAGTATAGAATTTTTCCTCAACGTACATTAATTAATTAAAAATTTTGAACCCAATTTTCTGGTTCCATCGGCCCCTGTGCACGATTAAAGAAATAGAGGATATTCAATGTTTTGTTGATGAATATGGAATTTATTTCACAAGTGGGACAGGAATTTTTTTATATTTTCACGAGTGCGAAGCACGATCGAGTGAAAATATCAAAAAATCCTGTCTCACGAGTGAAATAAATTCCGCATTCATCTACAAAACATTGAATTTTCTGTTTATTACATTTTCTTTGATTTTCCCTTTGCCTCTGTCTTTTCTGAACACAGTGTCATAAGCTTGACGTCATAGTTGAGCGGTTGAGACGTCATAGCTTTAAGTTAGCAGTTGTGTGATTGAAAACATTACATAGCATGGATTTTAGCAACGTATTTGGGAAGAAATTTGCAGTTTTGGCTCTATCAAGATGCTTAGTTACTATCTCTATCTTATGACAGTCCAGATATTATTTTTTACTTACTTTGATATCCTTTCACACTGTGAGAGAATATCATTTTGGTATCCTTTCACACTGTGAGAGAATATCACTTTTATTCAATAAATAAATCACAGTATTTCACTGTTGAAAATATAATAAACTTTTATATTCACTATTAGAGGATGCTTGAATACTGATATGATTAATCATAGCCCTGAAGTTCTTCAAAAGACTTAATTTTTTCCCTTTATGTACATGTACCTTTATTTGTAAAACTTACATCCCTTAATTATTGTAGCCCCTTCCCTACCCCGAGGGCCATCGTTAATCTATTTAACTTGAATATACACAATACCTAATTAGCTACCTAGGTTGTTTGTATATAAAAATGTCTAATGATGCCCTTAGCGTTCTTGAGAAGAAAATACTTTTAAAAATAATTCTTCCTATACATGTACATTTCTATGAAAGCCTTGATCCTCTTTTGTATCCCCATCCTACCCTTTGGGATCATGCTGAACAAATTGAATCTGCATGCACGTTATAAGAAAAGGAGGTTCATTAATCTGTATTTGTAAGTCATCTAGCTGTGACGGCTTCTGTCGGATATTGTTCTGAGGAGCTCTAAACACTAAGAAATGAACAAGTTTTTTTTTTTTTTTTTTTTTCGACTTTGAGAGAATTATAACGTATAAATTAAGGTGTATATACTGAATTATCTATGTTATTTTCAACATAATATACAAGTCAATTTTCTTCAGGAAAAATGTTAAAAGTCAATTAAGTATTAGAGAATGGAAATCACTGTTGTTCATTTACATTGGGGAAATACATGCAAATAATATTTTCAATCACTTTATCCTGTAATACTATTTCAAGTCGTATCATTTACTAGTATAACGTTAGATTTCCATTCGTTAGAATTAAACTGCATGACTACCATATAATCGAATTTAAATCAATATTAGTTCAAATTGCAATTAATGCTTAACATTTTATGTCTGACATTACATATTTTGGGGGATACTGTTCAGTTCAGTGTAATGGATGTCCCTCCTCTTGTATAAGGAGCACCCGAGAAGGTGGTATACTAAAAAGAGGATTTTAAAAAAATACAAGGTTAGAGTAAAGTGTTAAAAAAGCAAGTAAAACCTAATATAACTGAGCAATAAAAAATAAAATTAAGCGTGATAAACAAACATGGACTAAAAAAGTTTATACAGTTTTTACATGAACTTATTTATATAAAAAATATATACATGTACATGTTTTAATTTCGCCGAAACTGCAGATGAATGAGTTGTCAAACGTGTACTGTGATTTTCAATCACGTGATATACAAAATGTCGGCGCCCACAGCTGACGTGAAAGATCAAAGGCAACTTCAATTTGTGTCATTTAATAGTTTCCTAGACTCGGGATTTTGGCACAAGCTCTCGGAAAACAAACTTAATGTTTATGGCTTGGACGAGAGCGAGAGGGCGATCAACGGATTTTACTTTAATGGTATATAGGGAACTTATTGCGTTGTTGTTATTCAAAATGTTTTTGAAGATTTGAATAGATTGCTTTCTTAGCTCGGTGTATAAGACCTTTCCTTTCTTAAATATTGGACTTGAATTGCTGTAAAATATAGCGGATGGGGATCAGGACACTGGATTTTTGTTTTTTATTTATTTTTCTTGGGAGGGAGCACTGGTTGTAACACCCCTTTTTATGATTTCCTTGAATTTCTTTGGGGAGAGAATTGCATGTATTTCATATTTTCATTTAGATATAATGCATTTGGCATTTATATCAAAGGTTGTCTTACAATGCAACATCAAAGAAAACATTCCATGGCCTTGTATATATAATTTTTGTTCTGCAGTCTGAGTCAACAAAATTTTAGTCTGACATCGTGGACTAAAAAATTCACATCACCTTTTACAAATGAATACTGTATGTGTACTTAAAAAAGCGGGCTTTATATTTTAGCGGCTTTGGCGCCGACAGCGATGCACTGATTCATGATTACCATTAATAAGTGAATACGATATGCTTGCTTCGATCTGCCATTTTATCAGGCCTCGAACATTGAGCCCGATTTAAATCGTTATCTATTTCACCAGGCAATAGGCCTATATAAATGTATGTAAATATATATTCATGTTTAATGTGATTTATTTTCAAATTCACTTTTAATTCAAATTCAATTTTAATATAAAATGTGTTATCGACATTTGTCACTTGGACCATTCAGTTCAACCGCATCGACCCGCATACTATATGTGTGAATCTCGACAATGTATAAACATGTACGTACAGTATTAGTCAGTTAGTTACACAATGCTATTTTAACATAATTAAACATTATTGATCCTCCTGGATTAAAACATCTTAAGTTAATTGTTTTTAATTACTAGTAATCGGTAATTAAATGCTCAACAACCAATCTACGACCACACAATAAATACCTTAAGGCTATTTTCAGCCAGGTGGACACAATAATCTAATACAATGTTTAAAAAAAATTTAGAGTAAGAAATTAAAATTTTACTTAAACCCCTAGACAATCAGTACAACTTTTTAATTTTTATTTTTTTGTGCTATATGTGTAGCGCTAATTTATGACTACGCCAACCACTCCATACCCGGTGATTTTGCTAAATTTTGAATACGTTAATTTATGTACACATACAGTAGTTTGGGGCTGTAAAAATCATTGATTAATATCTACATCTAGTTATACAAAATGTATAAAATGAAATAATTAATTTTCAAAAGGGCACAATTGTTATTTACATGCATTGCAGTATGTTGTCTGTTATTATCTGTTTACTATAATTTTACAGTTTTCAGTGTCAACTGTGAAATATGGAATTTTTGCAAAATTATTTTGGATATTCTTTTTCCTCATATGTTGTTTGCACCATTTTTTCTTAAAATGTTACTCAGTCAAGTGGGTTAGATCAGATCAAGTTTAATGTTGTGGGTAGCAATTTATCATTTGTCTTTGGGGATGGAAGATGCTCAGGGTATGATGTTTTATATTTTTCAGGGGACCCACCTGGAATGCCATGTCGAATGAATGTAGAGTTTACTGCATTTGATATGTAAGAATTTATACCCTGTCAAAATATTTCTAGCTCAAAAGTTGAATGAAATATTTCCTTTCAAACTTCAAACACTTTTTTTGAATCTGTGATCACTTTGTTATTTGATAATTTTCATTTGTCGATTCATATTCGTTTCTGCTACCTTTCAGAGATGCTAAGACACCCAATAGATGTTTTCCAATGCATGGAGTGTTACATAATACAAACACCATTGATAAATTTAAAGAATGTGATAAAAAACAGATAATAAGTGAAGCAGGCAAAAAGGTTTGTTACGTCTTATTTTTATTCATAATGTTGGGAGTCAAAAAAGGGGGTACATGCACTCATTATTAAAAAATCTTATCTTGCAGTGGTTGGTTAACATTTATCCCTAGGGTCATCTGTTAGTGTTTCCATTAAGATTTTTTTGAAAGTTACTTAAGTAACTTTTTCTTCAAGTGACTGGAAGATTTATCAAAAAGATATCAGTGTTTAAATTTCTTTTCTAATATTTATCTCTTAAGTTTCTTTTTCATACATGTTTTTCTCTGCAGATTTGGGAAGCAGTTGTGAATGGTGAAGCTTTAGAAAAGCCAGAACTTCTGTCCAGGTTTATTCTTCTCACATTCGCTGTATGCTCTGCTAATTCTTATTTATCTGTAACTTATTTGTCACTAAGTTTTATTTCACATAAAAAAGAAAGCTCTATATTAAAACATCTTTAAAAACTAAAAAAAAAAAACCCAAATTTTGAGAATATTTTTATAAATACATTCAATGATGAGACAATACAATTTAAAACCTTATTCTATACAAAGGGAAAAAGCAGATATTTTAATATTTATAGTGAGAAGTTGCAAAACATTGCCATACTATTGAATGTATCAAAAATGCACTATTCATGTACTGACACTGAGATCATTAGATTATAGATGTTTGTTTTAACCTTATTAAGTGAGGCATGTTACTAATCATTTCTTGATGAATTTTCCCCCAGGATTTAAAGAAGTACCATTATTACTACTGGTTCTGTTTTCCCTGCCTGAGTCCCCCCACAGAGGTCACCCTAAATCAGGAACCGGGCAAAATCAGGGAGAAATTTACCCAGGAACAAGTATGATTATTTTTACATTTATTAATAAGGTAAAAAAAAATCCTTTTTTCATGTCAAAAATTTCAAATATAATATATAAGTCTACTTATAAATTATTGTTAACTTATAACAAGAAATACATTGTGTATCTAAAAGAACAGCATAAGTGAAAAGGGAAATAACTCAATTTTCTTTCAACCTTTAAAAATAGAAAATTCAGAGAATTTCTCTTTTCAGAATAGTAATAAAATTGATCAATGCGGCATTGTTTGAGTTGATGCGGTGATGCCCAAGAAACTATAGACTATTTTTTTTTGTGTTAATTGTACATAACACTGGAATAATGATGATGTGAAGACTGATTCTTTTTTTTTTTTTAAATAGTGATGTATCACACTACATGTAGTACTGCATTTTAATCAACATTAGTTTGGCTTTTTACTGTGTTTAAAACATTAAATGATGCACAACATGAACTTTATGAAAGAAAACAAACAAATGAAGTGTTTTAGTATCTCAGAAGTAGATTTGATCAGATAAAGAGTGAGAATGTGAGAACACACATGTACTAATAATGTTGTGTTTGTAATGGTTTGGACTTCCTGGTCTCTGGATACATGTATCAATCTGGATAGCTAAGTAGTAAGAACACCCAACTGTCGATGCAAGGGTCCTAGGATAGATTCATTTTACATTTTGTGCTTTTGACCTGCACCCCTGAAATTCTTGCCAGTGGCTAAAGAATCTGGGTCGTGTGCCTTTGAGGGCAAAGACAGTTTGAGGAGGGACTATATGGACTGTGGATATTCGCTTTGATAGCTTAGTGGTCAGGGCTTCTGACAAATATAAATGCAGGTGTCCTAGGTTCCATTCCTGGTCCAGCCATAAGAAATCTCTCCTCGTGTCATGTTATGTCTAAGGAAATGGAAATTATTACGTTTAAAACTATAACTTTTTTTTGAAGTCCATGTTTGAAGCATGGACCTTTTACATGTATATGTACAATGTATATACATGTATTATTAATTTTTACTATATAACAGAATGGTATCAGCAAAGGTTTTCATTGATTTATAATTGAATTTACACTTTTGAACAGGTCGTTAATTTCTTACATTCCTATGATGAGTACCAAAGTAGACAACAAACTTATCAGGGATACTTCATTGTAGTACATTCCAAGGGAGAATTCATTGTAGATGACATGAAAAATTTGAACAAATATGGAAACACACAAGAGGTATTTGCATGCAAGGAAATTTTACTTTTTTATACAATTTTTTTGTGTGTGATAGCACAAGTATTCATTAATGTTAAGTTTTTATTTATGTTCTTGACAAATAGTTTGAGCAATACAGTATGAAAGCTTTCAGTAAATAAGCGAGTTTCAAGATTATAACTCTCCTACGATAGGGGCACAAAAAGTATCTGTATCTGCATGGAAGTGGGACAGGTTGTAAATGTATACAAACTTGCATAAATAAAAGAACGATGACTATAAGGAAATGAGTCATTCAGAATGCCGGCGTATAATGATCAGGTGATTGTGTAATTATTAGAGAGCTATTCCCTTGCTTGATGTTTTATCCAAGTGCTGATATTTTCTTTTGTTCCAATTTTTATTTTCCTTTGTTCCTTTTTTTTTTTTTTTTTTTTTTTTTTTTTTTTAAGAAAAAATTGATGCCTTTGCTTAAATTCTATAAGTACATCCTGTTGATCAGTTATGATAGACCGGTATATCGATGATGTAAGGTATCCAATATAAATAACTGTCCCACCTGCCTGCTTAAGCAGAAACAAAACTCCCCTCTGTAACGGAAGAGCGCACCAGGGGAGATAATCTCGAAAGTTGCCTATTAAGTTTCATCTTTTAAATGCATATTATATTCTTTAGAGTATCTTTGTTTTGTGTTGAATTATTATTGTTAACATTTCTAGTGAGCAGTACAAGCATTTTAAAAAATAAAGTACAGCATATCGTAAATGTGAACTGCTTTAATATTTTATACACATTTATATCAACAGTTTTGATTCATCATTATTTTTCATCCATTTTTTAAATTCATATTTTAAGAATCATAAATTTTGTTTAAATTTTGTTTTTTTATAAGACTTTTTTTTTTCATGTAATTTACTTTTACTTTGAATTCTACAAGTTTACTTTTTTGTTTGTGTATTTTATGCCTTCTATATATTCTTTAGGTATACTTATTTTGTTTTTGTACTTTATTTCTCCTTCATATTCCACAGGTATAATTTTAGTACGTTTACTTTAATTTGTCTTTATATTGTACAGGCATACTTTGGGGTATGTGATCCGAGCACCATTGAGAATTATCCTGGTTGGCCTCTCAGGAACCTCTTACTCCTAATATCATATCACTGGTAAGTCAAGGCCTAGTGTATAATATCACTGGTAAGCCAAGGCTTAGTGTATAGTCTAAGTATCATATCACTGGTAAGTCAAGGCCTACTGTATAATATCACTGGGGAGTCAAGGCCTAGTGGATACAATTAGTCCTAATATCATATCACTGGTAAGTCAACACTTGGTCCTAATATCATATCACTGGTAAGTCAACACTTAGTCCTGATATCATATCACTGGTAAGTCAACACTTAGTCCTAATATCATATCACTGGTAAGTCAACACTTAGTCCTGATATCATATCACTGGTAAGTCAACACTTAGTCCTAACATCATATCACTGGTAAGTCAACACTTAGTCCTAATATCATATCACTGGTAAGTCAACACTTAGTCCTGATATCATATCACTGGTAAGTCAAGGCCTAGTGTATACATTCAGAACACAAGAAATAGCTCAGATATGTACAGTAAGGCCTCTTTTTACATTTGTATAGAGAAATGGTGGGACAAAAAAAGAGATGTTCAAGTGTTTAAGATATTGAGGTAAAACTTCAAACTCACTTTGAAGTATCCATGATGATTATGCAGATAGTTGAGATATGGAAGTTCAACTGCATACATGTAACACTGTCAGAGAAAATATGATCACAATAGCATTGAAATGTTTATAAACATTTTAACTTACTCTCAGATTATAATTTCGTAATTCTTTTTGATGGAACAAAACTCAATGTAGAACTGTCTTGTTTGAAACATTAAAATTTTTTCTTCAAAGAATTATAACAACAATTTAAATACATATGTATGAAAACATGGCATGTATATATATATACCATATTTTTGTTGAAGTAATTATGTCTTTAACAATTTTTCATCCTTGTATATATATTATTTCAATTTGCAGGAAAGGTGATTTGAAGAATGTGAATATACTATGTCTTAGAGATAGAAGTCGAGATGGATCTCGAGATATCTCACATAGTCTCATACTGTCTGTTAGCCTTCCAGAGATGAAGGGCATCACAGGTAAAAAAAAAAAAAAAAATAATGTCAAAGATGAATGAAACATTTCACACAAGAACATCTGAATGCCTTGTATTTTTTTTCAGTAATGAAAGAAATCAAAAACCAGTTTTGTTTTATTTTGGACATTTTCATTCTAGTTTTTGTTGCATAATGTGTATCTGATTTTCACAGAATGTCCAAAATGTGTTGGATGGGAGAAAAATGAAAAACAGAAACTTGCTCCAAGATTTGTAAACCTCAGTGCCAGCATGGATCCCACTAGGTAAAATGAGTACCATGATTAAAAGCATTACATGTAATACTAATCTAAGCCATTTTTTAGCAAATCTATACATGTACATGTAAATGGAGATGAAAAGGGGAGTAACTCTTCCTTATCATTTTCTAACAGACTGGCCGCATCAGCAGTTGATCTCAATTTGAAGTTGATGAGATGGAGATTACTGCCAGAACTTGACCTAGACCTTGTATCAGGGACCAAATGTCTGCTGCTGGGTGCTGGGACTCTAGGATGCAATGTGGCAAGGTGTTTACTGGTAAGTATCAATTGAATTACATTGTAGCATTATATTTCAATGGAAAGCTTTACAAACACTTGTCTTTAAAACAGTAACTCTGTTGATTTTACAAAGTTTAACTTTTATTGCTCTGATCTTATATTTGGTGCATATTGCCCAAAATTTGTCTGTACAATGATCCAAGGTGATTTTGACAAGGTCTAAGTCTTTGTGATGACAGATATGAAAATTTTTTATCATGGTGTAGCAATGAGAGGATCACTGGTAAAAAACAAAATTTATAATTTTGTATGGGTTTTTGAGATGTTGCAAAATGACTCAAGTAACATCTATATGACATCAATGTTTTTATGTCAAAGAAAATAAATGAAAAGAAGTATAATAAATGTAACTCATATAACAATTAAGGCATACGAGTCTCTTGATTCAATATGTAAGGATCTTAAGAAGATCTGAAGGTGTAAAAATTCGTCCCCATTTACATGTAACATTGCTTTGTATGCTTAAATGTCAACAATTTCAATATAGTAATGAAGACATTTTCTTTAATGTGCAGGGTTGGGGAGTAAGAACCATAACTCTGGTAGACAATGGTAGGATCTCATACTCCAACCCAGTACGTCAGTCCTTGTTTGTATTTGACGATTGTTTAAAGGGAGGTAAGCCAAAGGCTGAGGCAGCAGCCGAGGCATTGAAGAGAATATTCCCGGGGGTGGTGAGTATGAAGATCATAAAGTTCTATAGAGTCATTAGTATAAAGATCAAAGAAATTAACAATTAAATATTTTTCCAGAAATGCTGTACTTTTAATTTTTAAAAAAAAATGCTGCAGCATAGCTATGAAATTGAAGAAATAAATTTTTTTGTTAAAGCTCTTTAAAAACTTGATGTTCAAGTACAGAAGAAATAAAGAGAGTGAAATTTTTCATAAAGAATTATACTTGCATTTTTAATGCTATCATTTAGCTATCATATGCTGTCCAAAATAAACTGTGCTAGGGCACTTTATATGAAAATGTTTCAAATTAATTTTCTTTTGAAGTATGTGAGTACCTGTAATTGCAGGATGCTAAGGGATTAAGTCTCTCCATACCAATGCCAGGGCATGCAGTACCAGGTAATTGATTGATCAATTAAAATACTAAGTAATATGATCAGTGATACAACTCTCTCCTATGGTGTACTGTCGAATTTCCATATCTTGAACACCAATATCTCGAATACCAAGGATAATTGAAGTGATTTGAAGTCCCAACCATGTATTCTTTAAGTATATCTATGACATAAATCCTCTGATATCTCAAAGTTTTTTCTCTGTCCCATCAATTTCGAGATACAAGTAACAAGTTTGACTGTATCGTTGTCATGCAAACATTTTGTGATTAAGAATTTTGGAATTAGAACATTTAAATACAGAAAAAGGAAAAGAGAAATCTAAATTAAGTATAATTATGGATCTAGTATGTTTTTGTTTGAACAGATAGTGCAATAGATGGTGTGCAGAAAGATGTACAAACATTACAGGATTTGGTGAATACCCATGATGCAATATTTTTATTGCTAGACACAAGAGAAAGCCGATGGCTTCCAACTTTAATGGCAGCTGAAAAGCAAAAGGCTTGTTCATTTAGTTCATTATATATGATATATAAATACAATAAAAAATGATATGAAACAGATAAAGACACAAAAAAACCAAAAGAAAATAAATAAATAAACCCTAGAAACTTCTCAACAAGCATAAATTATGCATGGAAAACAAATGTTAAGTTGTAAGTTGTAAAACTTATATGTGAAGTTTATGTCAGACAACAAATTACACTCGGATACTACATGCATCTCCTCTGTGAGGGTTATAAAAATGAATCTGTGTTATCATGAAGAATTATGTTCAGCTAAGAGTCTTCTAACTTTTCATTTCAGATTGTGATTTGTTCTGCACTGGGGTTTGACACATACCTAGTTATGAGGCACGGTGTGAAGTCAGACTTTGAGGGTGGGGAACCAGCCTCTCTGTCATCTTACAGCTCCATACCAGGGGACCAGCTAGGCTGCTATTTCTGTAATGATGTAGTAGCTCCAGGAAATGTGAGATTCTTTCTTGAAAATTTCATTTAAAATACTGAATGGTTGTTATTGATACCGGTACATTAAAATATTTATTCTTGTCTTGATCTTGTGAAAACAAATTTTTTAACTAAAAAATGATACTGACTGTTGTCTTTGTGATGTGCTTCAAAGCCAAAGTACATGTACCTTGTTTTAATCTTAGTAACATGAAACATTTTTAAAATTCATGGGAAATTTTTTTGAAATGAATGTGAAAAAATTATGTGTGACATTCTTGTAGAATTGAAACCTTGAAGAATTTTGTTGATAGATGTACTTTGTGTTCTTTTCATTTGAATTACAGGGGAACAGTTTTATGTCAAATTCATTTTAGGCACATTTGCTGGTGGGTTTGCAGTTTTTTGACAATTTTTTTTTGGCAGTCATTAAAGGATCGCACACTCGACCAGCAATGTACTGTTTCTAGACCAGGAATTTCTTACATGGCTTCCGCTCTAGCCGTAGAACTTCTGGTGTCTGTTCTTCAACATCCACAAAAGTATGTATGATGTCTGAAGATTTTCTAATAAAGTTTTGTTCCTGTTAAAAAATGAATGTTCTATATTTGATGTTTATTATTCTACAGGGGACACGCCTCTGCAGACACCAGTGCTAACGATGATCACCTGAGTAAGGATTTTGTGAGCGCCCTTGGGCTGGTCCCACATCAGGTAACAGTAAAATACACTCAGGTATCATGTTAAGAACACTTCTGTAAGTAGGGATTCATGGTACACGTATACACAATGACATTTAGTGATTCAAGTTCATCCTTCTTTCTATTTTTACTTTTATCTTTTGAAAGGAATTACATGTAGTATACAAGGATCTTTTAAGCATTGTTTAAAAATGTGATGGATGGCCATCCACCAGATTTTTTTCAGACCATTGAGCTTCAGATCAACAGCTTGTCAAGTACAAAAAAATTAAAAAGATGTGCTTTGTTTCAGATTCGCTGCTTTGTGTCCAGGTTTCAGCAAGTTCTTCCCGCCTGTAGAGCTTTTGATAAATGTACAGCATGTTCTAAAACTGTGAGTACTGCAGCAGGATTTGGTTTCTTCAATGGATTACATAATAATCTGTACTAACTTAAATGTACATTAATTAGCACACTCAAAATTTAGAACAATCCTCCATATCAATGGCTTAATGTAATGATTAATTAGTGTAATGATCAATTAGTGTAAGGATTAATATTGAATTCATTAATTAGTGCATGTTGAGCTATCTGAGCTGCTATATGTATTTGTTTCAATCGTATATTTGTGTGTACTTGAATAAGCATACAAGAAACAGAGTGACATATGCAAAAATATATTACCATTAAGTACATTTAGAGTATTTGAATGTTGTTTGTTTGTTTACCGTCCCTTTTGAGAATTTTTCACTCATATTGAGATGCCACCACTTGCCAGTGAAGGGCTGCAAATTTTAGAACAGTCCTACTCTCAGGGCCATTGAGCAGTGAGGGATCTTTTTCGTGCCAGCACCTACTGCAACACAGGACCTCGGTTTACATGGCCTCATCCGAAGGACCGTTCTCCACATCCCACAATAGGATTCGAACCCAGGATGTAAGGATCAACTCCTTACTCCACAACTCTAAAGCAAATGCTCTATCACTGTGCCACGTGGGCAACTAGTAGTTGAATAACTTTTAGTTCTAAAAATTCTCTTCTCTATTTAACCAGAGAAATTTTTGAGTACAATGTAATTTGAAGTGAAATTAAAAGTTGTCGAGAGAAAAAGAAATCATTTAGATATGTATTTGATATGCTCAATCCTTACATTTTTACCTGCTTCATCATTGTGCAGCCTCTCCAAACTTATGTATATATATATATGCAGTTGAGCTTCAGTATCACAAACTGCACATTTTGAACACCATGGATATATTAAAGGGATTGGGAAGTCCAAACCACTTATTCTTTAAGCATTTGACACAAAATATTTCTAATCCTTAGATAACGCGAAGTTTTTTCTTGGTCCAATAGAGTTTGAGAGAAAGAGGTTTGAATGTATGTGTATCAAATTTGTATGTCTGTAAAAACTGTAATATATCTGTAGGTGATACAACAATACAGAAAGGATGGATTTGACTTCTTGAGGAGGGCATTTAATGATCCGTCTTATTTAGAGGATTTAACAGGACTCACACAGATGCATCAGGAGACTCTTGATGCTGAGGTATATTAGAAGAATTAAGGAAAAACTATAAAAGATGGAAAGTACTACATTGTATTAGATTAATATTTTATATGTAAAATCATGGAAGAAAGAATTAAAATCCATTCTGTTATTGAACTCCTGATCTGTAGTTAACTAAAGCAAGACTTTAACCCTTTGGCTGTAACAGCCCTAAAAAAAATTGTGTCACTGCCAAAATTACTTCATAATGATTGTCTTGCATAATGTGCATTTAAGGAATGTTTTTTGTATTTTTGTTTGAGTTATTGGCATTTAAACCACTTAGACTTTTCATGTACATGTAGGCATATTTCATGAAACTCACTCAAAATATAAAAATTCCTTAAATTTTACATAATACATGTTTTAAAAGCAGCAAAAAAAAAACACTCAAGGTTTATTGCTGCCCTATATCATTACATTTTCAATAATGTCTCTTTTGTCTTATTGTGACATTACTTCAGTGCAAGTTTCTGTAACTGTATTTCCACACTTGAATGTGCATGAATTTGAAAATGCCATTCAAATAAATTGAGCCCTCCTATGGCCCTTAAGGTCATTAAAAATTTTTAAAAATTTATTATTGAAAATTTAAAAATTATCCAAATTTACTTTTCAATGGATTATGATAGACTATAGTGTAAAATAACCAAGTATAAAGTTTGATTCAAATACTCAGACTAATTACTGAGTTGCCGAAAATTTTTAAATGAGGTTTAAAATGACGTTCTAAATAATGCTTAATCATTGAAACAGGTTCCCGGATTGAAAGGCCTTACATTTTCACCAGAAAACACACAAAAAATTTAATGCATAAATCCCTTTCTTTTGTTTTATATGCAATATTTGATATAATTGTTTTTGTAAAATAATAAGTAAATCATACACTAGTAGCAAACCGTTTCAATGTTATACTGTAAATAAAAAAGTGGATATCTGCAGACAAGACTAGCAAGTACATTTAAAAAATGTCGACATTTTTGCATGTCACAGAAATATTGTCTTTTTGGTCATTTAAAACTCACATGATTTTAAAAATCTGAATAAAAAATATATGTCTTCATATAAGTTTTTAATGAAATAAACATAGATAATGGTACCGTATATGTTTTTTTTTTCTCAATAATATGCTCATTTGAACAATTGATAACAAGCAACCAAAATAAATTTAAGACAAGATAGGAAGCTTTCAAATGATATATACATTTATTATGTTATCTTTGATAAAAAAGGAGTTACATGCTATATAAATACTGACAATTCTGAAACCTTTGGTGTATTCTTAGATGATCTTATTTTAAGGAAAGTGTATGCCAAATATGTAAGGTTTTTTAATATTTTTGTAATGGTATATATCTTTCTTTTTTTTTTGAAGGTGTGGGGATTCAGTGAAGATGAAGAATGTAGCAGCATGGAGCTCTCTTAATATTAGTCCATTAAATAGAGTCTTTTTATTTATTTATTATTATATTGTTGTGATATTGTATTATACACTGTATATAGATAGAATAGACATCAGACATCAGCTATACTTATAATTATGGTCTTAAATAACATGTATGTTACTTTATGTTACTTTAAAGTTTGAAAAACACAGATATTTATGTAATATATCTGCATTTTACTGAGTGTTAAGAAAATGTATCATAATTATTATTATGCCGCCACAAAAGAAGTCGGGTGACAAATTCATATTGCTTGACCTGGGAAATGTACTATCTTAATGATTTTTTTTTTCAAAAATGATGATCAGCAACTCTAGTTATGCATAATTTTTTTTTCCAAATGGTCACCGTTGCCATGGAAACAAATAAAAAGTGTCAAATTTTGCCTGCGAATGTTCAAATAGATGGCTGGAGGATTCTTAATGAAACTTCACAGAAATGATAACCACCAACTCTAGATGTGCCATTTTATATGAAATTTTCAATGTTTCCATTGTGTCCATGGAAACGGACAAATATGCATTTTTATGAAGTTTTATTATATCCCCATTCCGAAGGAGAGGGATGTATACTGTTTTACCCTTGTGTGTCTGTCTGTGTGTCCGTCTGTCTAGCTGTCTGTCTGTGTGTCTGTCCATCACAAATTTTGGTTCCAGTTTTCTCAGCAACTTCTCATCGCAGATGCTTGAAATTTTTGGGCACGTCATATGGTGGGATTCATTTTTTCATTCATCTCTCAAAAACCGCATAGGCATTTTTTATCAGATTTGTCAGAGTATCGATAGACCAAGGGCTTTCATTGTTATGTATAATGAAGATGTGACTTTTAAACAACGAGATATAATCATACGTATAAACATAATGTTGATAAATTTGAAGAAGAAAAAACATCCCCTCAGAAACCATTGAGCAGCTTTATCGCCAACCTTATTCATAAATATGAAAACAGGATGTAAAGAATATTCAGGCAAATCATTCTAGGGCAAATTCGTTGTCTCACGATTAATTAAAAATTGACCATAAGTGATAGTTAAATCCTTCATATTTTGCCAGATATGGAAAAGGGATCATCATAAATTTTATTTGTTCTATCCTAGCTAGGACCTTCGGATAGGTTGACCCAAAAGTAGGTTACAGTGACCTACTTTATTTCAAAATTTTTGCTGCTTTGAATTTTCAAATTGGTTCAATTGCATATCGTTGACACTGTGAAGCCAAAGATTTTCAACTTTGTCAGTTAATGCATTTTAAAGTGTGTCGACTAAAATTTATGTCAACCAGTGATATACTTTGAAGGTTTTTTCGCTATGCATTTCAAAAAGATTTTTGCGAAATATTTTGGATACTTAGAGGCTCAGAATCATGTTACATTGTCCGTAGATGCTTCTAAAACTTATGTTGTGGCACAGGAATGTAGGACACAGTGACCATCATTTTATACACTTTATCATTATTTAAAATGAAATATTTTTAGCTTGGATACTTAAAGGCCTATTAGCTAGGATTATCAATCCCAGTTGATATGAATTTGTCTTTTGATATGTTGGTCCAAGCGTATAGTCTGGTCCGATTTATAGAAAAAAATACTTCTAACGGCAAATAATTATTATTTGGTCCAGCATAGTTTTTTAACCTATTTCAAGTATGCTGAATCCGGAAAAATATGCTGGCCTTCATGAAAATGGCGTTAAAAAGGTCAAAATGGCGGACATCCAATTTTTCTAATTTCTCTTAGTGTCGTCAAATAGGAGAAAGAATGTGTGAATATCTCACTGAGTGTAATGCAACTATAAAAATAAAAGAATGCCAACATTATTACTTTAATTCAGAAAAATTAGTCGTTTCTACACTTAATTCGAATTTTCTCTGATTTATTTGTCTATTGTTTCTATATACTGCTTTGTTCAGGGCTGTACATTTGCAAATATCCATACACTGCAGATTGTTTTTTTCCTCTGCATCTCACTATTCTACCACTGAATGATGGTACAGCTGTAAGTTATAATGTGAATTTCGGAAAAATCTCTGCAATGGCCATTCATATGTTTGCAGTAAACAACCAAGAACATCCATTCTATCTCATTGGACTTGGTAATGTGAGGTTACCACTACATCTGCCTATCTTTATATCACGTACTGCCTGGCATTGTGCTCGCTTTACATGCATATTAAAAGAATGGGAAGCGTAATTCCTAAATTATTTTCGATGCACGTTAGTGGACACTGTGTATTTGTTACGCAACTTAAAGACGATTTTTTGGAGTTTTTTTTTTATCAGTTAATTTTCCTTCTCCTCAACCTTCTATTGATATGTACTACAATGAGAGAATTGTATTAAATATATTTTTCTGAAGCTCTGGAAAAGACAGATTTATCGCCGAAACAATTTAAATGGAATAATTGCAGGCTTTCGAAAGGTTCCACTCGCATTTTACAGGTGTCTATTTCTGGAAAGAATGAGCAATGACACGTCCATATATGATATGCTAGTATGAGAACAGCTAAAGGTGCAAGAGGGCACTCAAGAACAGTACTAGAGCACTGCTTGAAGAACTACAAACTGCTTCTTCATTAGCGCAGAATGCTTTAACCAATATCATTCTCGCATTTCACTCAATATTCAACCATCCACTCACCTCTTCCCCCTCCCTCCCTCCCACATAGATAGCGAGCATTCACAATGTTTTTTTCATAATGAGTGATAGGAGGAGACAGGGTAATATGGTTTTTTCCCAAGGTATAGCAAAGTTAATAGGAAGAGGAATTTTTCTTGCTGTCCCTTTGTTCTGAGTGTTGCCGATTATATTGATCAGTCCATTTAATGATCAAACAAAAAATAATACTAGAAAAGTTTCATTTTTTAATTAAAACAAACTCGACTTGTTTTCCTCATATTTGACAGTGTTCCAAAGTTCTGAACCCCTTTCCCCCTTAAATCACTGCTGAATCGCTGTCATTATCAACTCGCACTTCCACTTCAACATCCCTCAGCACACCTTCAAATATAACTGAAGAAATTCTTGCCCGACTTCATTGAACCCTTTGCACTATCTTTTGAAATTAGCACTTGTAAGAGCTTAGTATTTTCCTCCAACATCCTCTATTCCAGCTTTAAATGCTATATGTTCAGTCAGTCTTCGGAATTTCGGTCTTCTCAACAGCTCAAGGACCAACACATTTATGTTCAAATGTTAAAAGACTACATGTATTTTGTTTTCCAAAACCTTATGCAAAATGGAAAAAAAATCTCTGATAAGACATGTAGCTTTCTCTTTTGTGAGCATATAGATTTGTTGTCTTTTTGGGTAGAAAAGTCATTCCATTAGCAAGAAAATTCTCAAACTTTATCATCTGATATCACATTGTGTGCATTTTTGGTGAGAAAAGTTGTATAATTGTGCGATCTAAGAGCACCTGCAGATTCCTTGTGATTTCTATCACGTACAAGCTTTCATACCAATAGGCCGAAGCCATTCTTGACTTTGATCTAGTCAACACTTTTCTTGACAACAAAATTTTCTTGAACACTCCAAGAACTTCACAAGGCAACTTGATCCACACTACTTTGTTAGGACAGTGTATGGTGTATCAAGAATCGAGGGGGAATTAAACACAAACATTTTCCTCTTTCCGATTTTGTAAATTTCCAGACAAGGCACCGAATTCCATCCGAGTATGACAAAAAAGTATGTTTGGATTATCGATTTTGATTTTGAACATATACAATATTCCTTAGAAAAAAGAGGATTGTAGTCGCTTAAATTTAAATCTAACAATACAAGATTATCCGTTCACAACATTAAATATTTGTGAACACAGTTGAATTTTGTTGGCTATGAATAACAAAATGCAAATGCAGGGACGCAGAATCAGAGCTAGACAATCAAGAATATTTATGGTTTACGTATATATTATACTGGTTTTGATAATTCTTTATAAATATGTTGATATATAGTATATTACATTCAAATTAATATGATTTAATAATTCCTAGCCTTCTGATTGGTTGTGGTCCATCATTTTAAAAAATCATACACTAAGTTATGTTGCACTAGACCTTCCACAGGAATAAAAACATTTATTTTTTTCTTCACTGCATGGACTAAAAGTAGATCAAAAATTTCCAACAACTGAGATTATTTAGCAACCCTCGAACTACAATGTTCACTCGCCTTTGGGCTCGGGGAATACTGTTCTTGGGGTAGCTTAATTGTCATATTGTCCTCCAAACAGCAATTATTGTGTGATATTAATAACTTTTTATATTAAGAAGCATGGTTAGATAGGTAATAGGTAAAAGTTCTTCGGAGATGTAGTGAAAATCTTATCTTAATAATAGAAGTAATAAAACAAAGATGAGTATTATAAAAATTATAATTCATTAACAACAATATCCTCAAAGTTTTATTGAATATTTAAACATTATTTTTTTACTCTAAAAATGCAAACTGTAATTATTTCCTTTTATTTTCTGCAAAACGACTCAGAATTAAGCAGTTTGGGTATTTTATGTAATTCTAGCGTTCGCCATTTTGAATCGCCATTTTGAGCTTATTAATACAACTTTCAAATTTAAACGACTAAATTTTCCGAATTAAAGTGATTAATATTAGTGTTCTATTATCATTTTCATAATTGCATTACGCTCAATAAGATATTAACACATCCATTCTCCTATTTGAACGACATTAAGAAATAATTAGATAAAATGGATATCCACCATTTTGAATCGCCATTTTGACTTATAAATTACAGCTTCACCATCATTCAGTGGTAGAATAGTGAGATGCGGAGGAAAAATTTCAATCTGCAGTGTATGGATATTTGCAAATGTAAAATTCTGAACAAAGCAGAATATAGAAACAATAGACAAATAAATCAGAGGAAATTCGAATTAAGTGTAGAAACGACTAAATTTTCTGTATTAAAGTAATTATAATGTTAGCATTCTTTTATCATTTTTATAGTTGCATTACACTCAGTGAGATATTCACACATTCTTTCTTCTATTTGAAAGACATTAAATTAGAGATATTGGATGTTCGCTATTTTGACCTTTCTAACGCCATTTTCAGAAAGACCAGCATATTTTTC